AGTAATCCATTAAAAGCAAATCAATCAACAGTTACGCAGATTTGTGGGTGATGAATTATTTTCCAGTCTACAGTCACTTTCTGTTGTAGCATACCTACAGACAATAATGAGTATGTCCCCATTCGCATATTTACAGTAGTAAATACTGTATGTTGGTCTGCAGTTGGAGATTCGTCTCCAGCTGTGCTGGTCAAACTCTGTCTCCGGGCAGAGAGGATCCCAAGACAAGGCTATGTCGAAGGGTAGAGTTTCGTCTATGGAAACAGCTACTCGACCCCGTTTTATACAGGATCTACGGGGAATTTTTGGCCGAGCCTACAGGCTCTGATATCCCACATTAAGTTCGGACTTGTGCCATATCTGACCATGTGGGATGGTTGGTAGATATCCTGCAGTTGGAGATTCATTGTGGAATTCACTTGACTCACTTCTAGAACTTGACTACTACTTCTACGCACCGCTGATGAATCTTATATGTGTTGTTCTTGTCCTAAGTATTATCATTCATTACCAACCTTCATTTGACTATTCTATTCAGTAACCTTCCCTAGGTTACAACACTTTCCACAGCCAAAACATCACAAATATCTTGATACTCTCTTGTTATTTCCATGGAAAATGTATTGATGAGGTACATTCCTTAATTTCACCAGTTCAGACCTGCCTTGCCATGTACACAAAGATGAATCATTCAAATTCCATCATATCAAAGACAGATGCTCCATTCAGACAGTTACTTCCCTAGAACCACTACTATAGAGGAGAGACTCTTGAGAGGCTGTTTTCCCAATCACTATAATCTTAACCTTTTCTAGTCTAGGATTATGTTTCCTTGTAATTTTCACTTCTTATCTCCTCCTTATGTTATACAACAACTTCATTCAGTTATACTCTACCTTGAGTGGCTCTTGAACTTGTGTCTTTGTGCACCTAAAACTGTTTTAGGAAATTTTTAGGTGAAAAAAAAATGTTTATTGATCTGATATAAGATGTGAAAGTTTCTGAATTTACAAGTAAATCACCATGCCAGTCTACTATTTTTAAGTAGTGACTAATTTGATACAATTTATCATGAATCTGAGAAATTACGAATCAAATGGTTTCAGATGTATCATTTTAGTTGGTGATAATCCTGTGATTGATGAAGGTGTGAAAAATGAATTCAGTGTTCCATGTTCAATTTTGTTTCTTTTACTTTGCACTAATGCCCTTGGAAAAAGGAATTCTCCTCGAGCTGTAGTATTAAATAGCAGGGTAGACTGGACTATCTTGCCTTGAGTTAGCAACCAATCAAGAAGGAAAAAAACTCTGAATTCAAAATCAGCCTGAAGATCGATGCCCAAGACACACCTTATAAATGCAGAACATGTGGTGCAATTGCTCAATTAAAAATTTGAATGTTTTATTTTTTATAAAAAAAAACACACACAGAGCCTAATTTGGTGTGTGTATTTTATATATATATATATATGTGCGTGTGTGTTCACCCAATACAAGACCCAGGAGCCACTCATGGTAGAGGGTTACTGTGTGGACTTATATTAGCATAGGAAAAAAACAAGTGTTAGGAGTATAGAGCTGAAGCAGACTTTAGAAGGAATCAGAAATGCAATCCTAAACAAGAAACAAGTCATGAACCTCTACTCCTATTCAAAAAACCAAGGAGTAGCATGAACTGGACATTGGGCAAACCTATCTACCCTATTATTTATATATATATATATATATATATATATATATATATATATATATATATATATATATAAAATATATAAAATATGTGTGTGGCAAATTTTAGTGGTTATCCATATTAGTAGATGCTTTTGTTTTTATTATTAAACAGTATCTTTATTTATTTATTTTTAAAATTTTGAGAAATCTTGTTAGAAAGATATGTGCATCCCTTAGGGGAAAACTGTCATATTTTTTCTAATAAGATTTCTCAAAATTTTCAGGCTGGTAGATATAAATAAATAAAGATACTGTTTTATAATAAAAACAGAGCATCTACTCAAATCTGAGCATCCATTAAAAATAACATTTTAAGCAAATAAATTAAAAATATGTCTAATTTAATCCATTTCCTAATATATATATATATATATATATATATACACACACACACACACACACTTCAGGAAAGGAAAAACTTACATAGTTTTATCAAATTATGATAACAATGTTTATTATGGGGGAGGGGGCTAATGTTGTGTATTGCAGAAAACCGACTACATTGGCGCTGCTTAGACAAGAAATTGCAAATGCTTTACGCAGCAATCCCACTGGACACTGTAGCTAACATTGCCCAAGCAGTAGTTTGCTGTACTAATAACTGTCTGGAAGCTAAAAGCCATAATTTTGACGATCTCTTGTGATGTTAAAGTCCAAAGGTAACTTGTATTATTCTCATAATGTCTGGATAAATTTAGTATTACAATATCTTTACAAGTTTTTCCTTTTCTGAAGTGTGTATACATTTTTTGGCAGACTCTGTGTGTGTGTTTTATATATATATATATATATATATATATATATATATATAACAGAGTATATAAATTACAAAATAAAAAAATTACCTCATCATTTTAGATCTATTTGTAACCGACGATGAAAAAAATGTCAAATAAATTATTCAACCCCTGTGTATAGACAGTTTATACACTGGGGTTGAATAAGACTGATGTACTTCATGAAAGTTGAAATAGATCTATACCATATGAGGTAATTTTGGATTTTGTTGTGTAATATATATAAGAAACTGCTGAAAAGTTCTCAGCCTGCAGAGAAAAAAAAGAAGAATCTGTCATTTGCTAAGTTGGTTGATCCAAGAATTTTTCAATGTCTTTTTGTGTTTGTAAATTTTTTTTTACATCACAAAAAGAGTCTTCTATATAGGAAAAGGCAAATTCTTATTTCTTTTTCCAATCATATATTATGTACTACCTATTATTATTATTATTATTATTAATAATAATAGCAGTACCCTTAAGTTAGTTTGAGATTCTGAGATGAAGCCTTCTCATTATTTCTCATATTTTTTAATTATATTTTAACAAATTTCTTGACCTTTTGTCTTTCTTTATTCCATGCTGTATTATTGATTACCTAGTAGTAGTAGTAGTAGTAATACCTTTTAAGTTGGTTTGTGATTCTGAAATCAAGTTCCACATTTTATTTTTATTCATTTTGACGAGTTTTTCATCTTTTTCTTACTTTATTCCATGCTGTATTGTTGATTACCTAGTAGTAGTAGTAGTACTAGTTGTAGTAATTAATGATTTTAGTTGGTTTGTGATTCTGAAATGAAGTCTTTTCATTATGCCACATATTTTATTATTTATGTACAATTGTTTTATTTTATTGTCCACATGCATAATTGTCAAATACAGCAGCAAAAATTATTCTAAATTGCTTTTAATAGAGATTAAATTTGCTGCAAAGTCCATGGGTACATTGGTAATTTGATAATTTGATCATAAAAAATTATTTTTCTCAACAAAGCTGAGTATTTGTAATTCCATATTTTTTAAAAACGATTTTCATGTTAATTTGTTTTTTCTTTTATGCAACTTTTTCTTTTGGCGGATGATTTAATATGAGTAGTGGATACGTTATCCTGGGTGGCTGTTAAATTCTAGGGGATTTGAAATGAGATGAAAATAAAAAAAGGAAAAACAAAACTATGAAATGGTTCCTGAAAACTATGAATGTAAAGAACTATTTAAGAATTGAAAATATTTAAAAAGTATATTTTTTTCTTCTTTCTTTTAAGCAAAAAATTTCTGCTTTTGCTCTGAAATATTTAAAAGTATTGGCTTTTATGCCTCCAAATATCTCCATGATTCTGTTAATATTTTAATAGAGGATAACTGTAAATGAACACTGAAAAGTTAAAAAAAAAAAAAAATACTCCTGTTTACTTGTCTAGTGATCAAATATTGATTACCTACATAAGTATATTCTTCAAGCTTGCTATTATTTCCTCTCTGGAAGATCGACCATCCTGGGTATGATGATAAACTACATCTGGCAACAAAGCCTCTGATCAGGAGGTTTTGAGAAGCATAGAACCACCTTTTAATTGCTGTTGTTCCCAGGTTCACTCTGAACTGGGGTGGTAGCACTCGTTAGGGTCCCAGCTATGGGCAAATAGTTAACCCCCACCCCAAAAGGGGTCAAACCACTATGAAAGTATAAAAAATGGATTTTTATAGTAAAAAAAAATATATTATCAGCAATAGATTTAACTCTTGACAAAAATAAATCAATGAAATCTGAATTTCTAAGAATTGATTTCTTACAAAGACTACATTCTATTCATATGAACCAATTCTAAAAATCTTGCCAGCATTAAATAACCCATTGAGACTGAAATGCTGTAAACAAAATAAACCAAACGATATGAAAGCTGCACAATAGAAACGCAAAGAATTTACTCTGGCCATAAAATGGGGGATTTCTTTCTAAATTGGTCCAAATATTGATTACTTATACAAGCATTATTTACAAGTGGATTATTATCCTCATCTTTGTTGTTGTTATCAAAACGTTTAAAACTTTGAATAACCTACAAAGGTTTGACAACCTGTAGAAGACAAATCAATTTAGAAATGTAGAGAATTTTCTGTGGCCACAAATTGGGTGATGAGTTTATAAAATGATTTTAATACAGAATTGATCCCCCACTTTATATCCATATTACATGTTCATGTTTGGTTTTCATCAAGTATATGTCAATCCAGATAACCTTCAAGGAATTTGGAACAGAACCCTTTATTTAATCTCTGTGGATAGATTATTTTCATTTCCCTTGTAGTTTAAACAAGGTGTTCGGTTTGAAATTCCCTGTAGGTTACCCAGGTCAACATACACCTGATGAAGGTTGGAGGGTACAATGGCCGAAATGTTGTGATAACTCCTCATCCCAGAAATTCAAACAGAAACTACTTAAGCATGTTTTCCAGATTTACTTTTTCTCAGAACTTGAGAAACATAAAGCTTACAGCCATATCTCTTTGAAACTTACCAGATCCCATATGATCGCCAAAGTTAAGCAATGTTGAGTTTGGTCAGTACCTAGATGGTTGACCACTTGGGTATAGCAGATGTGCAGCACAAAGTCACAAGTCATCATGTCTGAGGGATTGAGTGTGCTGGCCTTGTTCAAATTGTTGATCATGCTAGATAACATGCTCTCTCCCAGAAATTGTAACTAAGGTCTGCTCAGCATAGTTGCAGTATAAGCCACAGGTGGGCTCTGTGGGTGTTGAATAAACATGAATGTGCCTGAGCAAGCATTTGCAACAGGAGATTAGTAGCCAATTGTCAGGAAGGATCCTTCCTGATGTTATTATACGGTGTGGAGGCTTCGATGTAATGGATAATGCACAGAATTTTTTCGGAGAAAGTGCCTGTTCGTTATAAAACCATACCACGGGTTGACCCCAAGCCTTGGGTTGAGTGAAATTGTATCACTAGACGGAACCAAGAAAAACATTCTTACAATCTAAATATATTTTCTGGCTTTAAATAACAAAGTCACAAGTAGAAATCAAATCAATTTAGAAGGAATTTTTGAGTGTGCTGGCCTTGATTTCAAATTGTTGATCACACTAGATAATATCACACATTCATGTTTTCCCAGAAACTGTAACTAAGGTCTGCCTTTCATTCATAGTTGAAAGTTATAAACCACATAAAATGAGGGATCAATTTTAATGGGTGTAATGCAAAAATGAAACACAAATTTTCTTGTTAATCAAGTATCAGTTACCTCCAAGCATCTTTTTTCAGAGCTATTTTCATCCTTTACGTTTTAAAAGTTCCTGGTGAGCAAGTTTTATTTTATTGTATTTTTGTTATTTTCTAGTTGTCTTCTTTGAATATTGTCGGCGTTTTGTTGTCTTGAAGTCTCCAGTAAATTTATGGTTCTTTAGTTTTGTACTTTTAGTTGAATTGTCCTGTCACCAAAATAGTTTACTTTTATTATTGTTTATTATTGTTATTATTATTTCATTCTGCTTGTTGCGTTTGTTTTAAAAGTATTGACTCAATTTTCTTCATTGGACCATTTCTACCTTAAAAAATACTGGGCTGGGTAGTAGAGACTTAGACTTGGTGGAAATAGGGCAACGCAATAACTGAAAAGTACTAAATAAAGCAAAGTCGAGATATCCCTAGACATGAACAATCTGCCATCATAAATTAAAAGGGTTCCGTTAAAAATTATCTGATGGACATATGAAGAAGGCTGGAAGGTAAAATGCAGTCGAACTTCTTCCTTACAATTGGAATACAGAGGAGATGTTGGTGATACATCTCTGTAGACATATAGCATGTCTAGTTCTAGCTGTGAAGATCTGAAGTGGTGGAATTCATCTAAACATCTGCCCTGAGAATCAGCAACAACATGGTGAAAAGAGAAGGAGGCAGAATTCAAAATAAGTTATTCCCCACAAGACAGTGTTAGTCCTGGGTATGACAATAAACTACATCCGGCAGCAAGTCCTTTGATTGGGTGGTTTTGAGGAGCATGGAACCATCTCTTAATTACTGTTGTTCCCAGGTCTACCCTGACGCAAGATGATAAGACTTGTTAGGATCCCAACTACTGGCAAATAGTGAACACCTCCAAACAAAACACTATGAAAGTATGAAAATACATTTTTATAGTAAAATACCAGCAATACATTTTATATAAACAAAAATTACCAACACTACATATTTATACTACAGGATGGACTACAACTTTCTATACATAGAAAAAAATTTTATGTTGAATAACCATTTTTATTTAGATAATGTGCTCTATATGATTACTATTGTTTCAAAAACATATATTAATAGGTGTTTGCCACTGTTTATGAACACGCATTAGCAAAGTTGAAGTTATGCTTTTAATGGTGTTGGTCATACATTCCTTGAGATGATTTATGTCTCGTATCTTCACTTGATACACCATGGCCTTCAAGTGCCCCCAAATATAGAAATCAAAGGGGGGGAGAGAACTTTGCATCTTGGAGGACACTTCACAGGAACATGCCAACCAATCCAAGCATCCGGAAACTGCTGATCCAAATACCGATGCACTTGATGGCCATAATGAGGTGGAGCGCCATTTTGCTTGAAGTAAATTGGGTAGCCACCTTCCTTGTTTAGCAGGGATTTTTTTTTCTTCTTGTAAATATGTTGAGATAGCAAAATTTCGTTAAGATTTTCAATGACAAAATTGGTCCAATTATTCTTAAACCCCATATCCCAATCATATATTTTCCTATGTATAAAAAAAATGAAAATCATATTTTTGGAGAATTACCAACAATGCATTTTATAGCAAAATGACCATCAGTACATTTTATTTGTAGTTGAAGGCATACAATTGTATTTGAGGTATGAAGCCATGAAGTCGTGTTCAAAATATTTGGATTCTGGCATTGAATGATCCATGAAGGCTGATGTGCTGTTAAACAGAATCAACCAACCAACATGGAAGAATTCTTTTACAACATTAATCCATATATTCTACAATTTCTTATGACTCTATTAATCATGTCCATATGTATCTGCACAAAAGCTGAGTATCACCTACCATGTATTCAATTGCAAAAGCAGAATAACATTTATCATTTTTATGACTCCAAAGTGCCCCAAAAAATTAAATTTCAACATTAAATGACCCATAAAGAGTTGATATGCCATTAAACAAAAAAATTAAGTTGGAAAGAAAACATTTTAAAAAAGAGTAATAAATACCTTCTATTGAGATTCAAGGAATTTTTTATTAAGGGTTTTTTTTATTTATTTCTAATGAGAGTATCTCTTATTCAGAAAAATAATCTCCTTTGATGCTTTTCTTGCCAAGGTTGAGTGTTATAATTCGGGATGTGAGTACCATATTGGATGATCTAAGACCTCCACCTTTCTGCAGAGAATGCAGAAAAAAAATCTTGTTTGATATGATACATCAGATCTTACTGGAACTTCATGTTTGCTATTTGACTCTGTTCAGGTGAGATACCTGGTCATCATAAGTTCAATTAGGTCAGCTTGTAAAAAATGGCTCAGTAGAAAAGACAGGTTTTATCACAAGAATGAATTGGCAGAATTAATCCTTCTAACATGGACAAAAGAATAAGAACAATCTACCCTTGTGAATGGAATAAAGGGTACATTTTAAAATTTCCAGGTTACGTAGGGCAGTGAGAGTAATGACTCAGATGATGACACTAATCCAAACAAAACAGTGTATATTTTTTTATGCATTTATTACGAATTTATGAGATTCTTATACGAGTGGGTAGTGTGAGATATTATCTATATTATCTATACGACCTAAACCATTTCTTTGGAATAAATAAGTTAAAAAAAAATTTTATATTCCATATCAGCAAAATAAACAAGCTCTTTTTCATCTTGAAAACTCCACTTGTAAAAGTGTCAGTTTTATTAAGAGACCTTTGATATTCGACAAATAAAATTCATTTTTTAAAATCTAAATAATTTCCCAAGACTTTGAGGGATCATTGTTTTTTTTTTTCTACACATTCTGCAAAATATTGAATAGAAAACATTCCTCTTAAAATAATGTTTCTTAAATTTGGTTTTGATATCAATGAAGATAATTGATTTTTCAGACCAAGAATAAAGTCAGACTTGTTAATGTTTAATATTTTTTCTGTTCACTTTTAATTTGCCATGATTTTGACTTGGTTTGTTTGGTGATGAAAAAATGAATTTTAATGCAAAAACGTTTATCTAAAAAAAAAAAAAAAAGTTATTAAAAGGGTTATTAAGTTATTAAAAAGGGTAGCGCTGTGAATCAACCAAAAGTAAGCTTTGTTCTTTCAACATTTTTTTTTTTTAATTTTAAACTCCAATGCTCAGAATTAAATTTGGGATCTTTGCACACAGTCAAATTGAATCCAAGCTCTGTCCAAAGACTATTGACTATTTAGCATTAACAAAAAAAAAAAAATATTTATTTCTTTCAAAGTATGTTCCTTGGGATCTCACATATTTATCGCGGTATTTGTTTCATTTTTTAAAAATAGTTTTTTAGGACTGCCATCAGCTGTCTCACATTCTTAATTCTGGTGCCCCCAAACACAACTTTTTTTTTTTTTTTTTTTTTTTTTTTTTTTAAGCTTTAAAAAACGTTATGAGTTGCAGTTACCCATTATTTTTTATTTTTTCTCTTCCAAAACCTTCTGCAAGATGAAATCTATTTGGTCATTGTGAAGGTGATAGTTACACAATTTAGTCTCAATGCTGACTGAATAACTCTATAGAAGAGTGTCTGTTCTGCATGCACAATGAGGTCCTCTCTGATTAGTTACCAAGTAACATCTTGCTACTTATTCTCAAGATCACCAAAGATGGTTGAATATTTTAAAAAAATGATTCTGTGTACACACACACACACACACACCAGGTTCTGTTAGTATAAATATTCCATTTCGACTTTATTCATTTATGCTCTGGTTGCCAGATGATTGTGGTAGAATGAAACTTGAGTAGCAGCCTAAACTTTGTCTCAAAAAAGTTGTGTTGCTGGTTAGCGTAATTGTTCTGTCATTCCAATTTAGACATTAAGCACTTTTAATGTTTAGGTAGGTGGCTGACTTTCTTTTTTTTTCCTTCTTCTCAGTTTCGATTTATTGGTTTTGTTTTTATTTTCTTTGGTCACTTGACATGATTTGGGTTGGTTTTACCACTACTTTGGTTTGTTGTGTGTAATATATATATATATATATATATATATATATATATATTTTCAGAATAACCACAGTGAATATTATTTTTTGACAGTCTTTCATGCTTGAATGCAATCTTCTGGCAAGATGATTACGTTCAAACATGAAACAGACTGTCACCACTTGGTATTGACATTAGTGTCTGTATTTGTTATATTTATTTAAATAAATGTAACCCTCTAATATTGAGCTCTTTGCCCCATAAATGTTCATACATTAAAATTATATTTTATATATGTTTTTATTTATATATATATATATATATACACATACAAGTATAGGATTGATGTATACAGAATAAATTCCAAACTAACAAATACTATTCTTAAAAGAGTGCTCAATACAGAAAGAGCAAA